GATCACTCCCTTGCTCATTAAAACACACGTGACTCGTTAAGCGAACATGAGGTATCTCAGGGTGGGGAAGGCCGTGGAGGGCCTAGTGCTGGAACAGGCCCACAAAGCCTCCCCCACCCACTAAGATACCGCATGTTTCCCCCTCCCTTCCTGCTGCGCCGGACTCACCTGGAAAAGATCTGTCTACTCTCTACCGTGGTTCCTGCTGCCACTCGGATTTGAGACCAGGGAATGCTTCCGCGACACCCTCGCGGCCTGATCCGGGCTCTGGAGGCCTTTTCCAGGTTGCTGCCGCCAGGACTTGAGGTCAGAGAACACTTCCGCAGCCCCCCTGTGGCCCAACTGGGCCTGGAAAAGGCCCCGGAGCCTGGATCCAGCCTCTGGAGGCATATGGAAGAGTCCCTGAACTTCAGTTCTGTTCTCAGGCTTCAAGTACCATGAGATCACACAAGATCAGTAGTGTGAGATCTCACCCCACTGATCTCGTGTGATCTTGCATTACTTTAGGCCTTCATTCTCTGCAAACTCACCAAAGGCCTGGAGCAGCCAAGAAAGCAAAGGATCTCAATCTTCGCAGGTTGGGTATTGAAGGGAAACCCAGGGCGGGGATGGGGAGGGAGGGAATAATCAGGGTGAATGTCTGCGGTCGCTTGTAAGGGCGAACGATTGCCATGGAGCTGCAATATTCGTAACTTCGGGACTTGCTTCTAAGCACTAGGGGGCGCTCATCACATAACTTTGAACGAGTGTTAAGTGAACGCTCATAACTCGGGATTACCTGTAATTGTTCTAACTGTCAAGAAATTTCTCCTTAGTTCTAGATTGATTAGAAGCTTTAGATGGGAAATAAAGTCCCAAATTATTTAGAATTAGAGCAGGGGTCCCCAACCCCAGGCCATGGGCCACTACTGGGCTGTGGCATATTTGGAATTGGGCCATGTGAGTGCATGGCCAGACCGTGTGCACATAGCTCAACTTGCCGAGCCATGGGCTGGCAGGCACTCATGCGCGTGTATTGGCCGGCGGCTCATGCAAGCTGGCACACGTGTGCGTCAGTCCACCACTTGTGCGGCCCAGTTCCCCTCTCCCCCCCCCCCGGGCCAGGCCACCAAGCCCGCAAGGTTGGGGACCGCTGAATTAGAGCATCTGTTTTCTCTTATCTGCTCATCTATTTTGGGATCCATGAAAGGTAATTTTCTAGCCATTTTTCGGCAGAGAACTAGAGAGCTTTCCAGTAGTAACATTCAAACCATGAAATCCTTTCTCCAGGTATGGTAAACTAAGCCCCACATTTAAGGCACTAGAAAAGTCGCTGTTCTCCAAATAGGATGATGACGATTAATCATCTATTTATTTGATTTATATCCTGCCTTTCTAATCAGAAGCACTATGACCACTGACCATTTCAGCTAAGGTTAATGGGAGCAAAACTCCAATACATATAGTCTTTGACTTATGACAACTGAGCCCAGAAATATGGTCATATCTCAGTTCAGTCATTAAACAAGTCACCTTATGAGGAGGCCCAATTTTATGACTTTTTTGTGCTAGTCGTTAAACAAACATTACGGTCATTAAGTGAAGCCATTATACCTAATGGATGTTTATTTGCCAGAAACTGGAAATGGATAAATCAGTCCACTGGAGCTGGTTTGTGATCAATAAAACAACAGGTTATTAATTTTAATGGATCTTGTGTACTTTGACTGTCCATCTTCTAGATGTATTTATTTCTATCTTTAGCCTGTCCTTGTTGGCATAAGTTACACAGTTTTTTCATTTAATCCAATTAAAGATTAGTGGATTTTATTGTTTTTTCTAATATTTTGTGGTTTTGCTATTTTATGCTGCCTAGACTAGAGTCCTTTAGGACAGGATGAATTATAAGCACTGCCCATTAATTAATTATTTTCCTGCAGCTATATTCATCTCATTGATACCCAGAGAGAAATACAGTCTCGCATTTCCAATCAGTAATGCAAGCCTACTCCTGACAACATAAATGGGATTAGGACAAAATTGTGCTGCATTCTATACTGCAAGCAGATGGAAAATATCGGCTCAATAAGAGTAACTCTGCCTTTTGAATACACAATGTATTAGGAGATCAGCAAATGCTTTTGAATGTATTAAGAACTTGTTATGTGATATCCTCTTTCATAATGTCTTTTCAAATTAGAGAAGTGCTTAGTAATCGCTAGGAGATTTACAAACACCAAGAAAACAAAAAGCCCACGTTCCCTGCTTAATAAGCTCAGTCAATAAAAATGAATGCTAAAGAGCATTTGTCATTCCATTTTGTGGTATACAGTGATGGAAACATGAGTTTCTGGTAAGTGAGTTGTGACGGGATATGGAAAAATTGCGTAGTGCATCATTTCCCAGACTAGGTCCCAGTTTCTTCTCTGTGCAAAATTTAGTAAGGAATCTATAAAGATCCTGGATGAAATTTACAGTAAGCTGTTTTGGGTTTTAGGCATATTTGGAACTATACAGAATTTGTGATGAGCATTCTCACAAAATGGATGCCATGAAGTTTGTGGCCACTCACAACTCACTTACTAGAAGACAAAATGGAGGATGGCTGCCTGCACTCCCTCTTCTATGTAGCTCTAAACCACTGTTTATTTGGGGAGGGGGGATTTTCAAACCAAGATTGGGCTGGAGTCAGCCACCATTCTGATTTCCTAAAAAGGCTTCAAGATACACAAGCGTTCTTGGAAGTAAAAATAACGTGGAAGGCAGTTTCCTATATATTTATTTTAAAGTACAGGTAGTCCTCGACTTACAACAGTTCATTTAGTGACCGTTTGAAGTTACACGACACCGAAAAAAGTGACTTAGGCCATTTGTCACACTTCTGACTTTTGCAGCATCCCCAGGGTCACATGATTTACATTCGGATGCTTGACAACTGACTCACATTTATGACGGTTGCAGTGTTCTGGAGTCATGTGATCCCCTTTTGCAATCTCCTAACAAGCAATGTCAATGGGGAAACCAGATTCACTTAAGAACATGTTACTAATTTAACAACTGCAGTGATTCACTTAACACATGTGGCAAGAAAAGTCGTAAAATGGGGCAAAACTCATTTAACAAATTTCTCACAACAACATGAATTTTGGGCTTAATTGTGGTCGTAAGTTGAGGACTATCTGTATCTAAAAATAAAGTCAGGACAGAAAGTGAGCTCATTGGCAGCTATAGTCACTAGGTTGCCTACCCTTTATATAATCATTCAAATCAAGTGTATACTTACTTCCTAATGTGGTATATATCAAATGTACTGAGAGTACAGTACAACTCTTTAGATCTTGAGCCATGACAGTTGAGACATTGTAATTAGGAACTCTGGAAAAAGTTTGGATTTACTTACCCACAAATCTGTAATTACTAATTTTCTTATAAAACTAGTCCATAAACCTTAGAAATAGTTTTCATCAGCCCATCATGAATAGGAAGGAATACCCAAAATATCCAAAATTCAAAATACATGAAATTGCAGATTTCTTGCACTTATGAAAAAAAATATTTTGCCCCAATCCTACAGCTACAACTTCTCCAACTGATGGATGCTCAGTCTCTGTTTAATAATCTGAAAGAAAAAAGAGCTCACTAACTTTGAAGTCAAGGTCTTGTACAATTAATTCTTACAAATTATTAAATATTTTTACATAACAGACTGAACTATTTGAAAGCAACCCTGTCTCCATATAATCTCTACTTTTCCCAGAAAAACATACCCAACTTCTTCAATTACATCTTTCTGGCTATTCTGCAGCTCATCACACTAGCCCAAGAAGAGGAAAAAAGGTATGTTTCATATTTTTAGAGTCACAATTCTTATAATAGCTGAGTGACCATGCTAGGTAGAACTTTGAGGATTAACCACATCTTATAGCTTCAAGAGACACTATTCTTGTTCTCATCATTATAAATTCCCTGTTTTCAGCGAGTGTCAGTTTTTCATATGAACTCAGATGTGCAGATTTCAGGTCCATCAACAAAATTCCGGTATGTTTGAGATATGAAGAAGGCATATATTGTAGATGCTCGGTTGCATGTTCTATCTCTTAAAATAACAAAGGGTAGGGAAAAAAAGGTTTTGCACAAATATGGATTATAGAGGATGCATTTTTAAAAAATTAAAGGCAGTTACATTTTTAAAAGCTATTGACAAGAATCCAGCCAGCTTATCAGCTGTTTTAAAATGTTCTCCATTGTAGCTTTGCTGTTTCCAGAGGTACAAAACAGATTAGCATGTCAATTGGTTCCTTACTACATTACATTAAACATATAAGGAACAAAAATAATCTCTTATTAAAGCATTCAAATCTATTAAATTAAGCAGACAATTAACAAAGAAAATCAAAAGCCAGCAGCACCAACACTTGCATTCATTCAAGGTCATACATGTTTATTTTAAAAAGCCACTTATTAAAGATAGTGAGATTAGCCTGTTAATAAACTATAGTTTTTACACACAGTATTTACACCTAACACAGAAAGGAACATTTCATTTTTATAAATGTTTATAAAATTAGATTGGCTGAATTGGAGACATAGTAGTTTTCTGTAATGTCTCCAACCATAAGGAATCACATCCTTTTTAGTGATAAGCGTGTCCCAATGCAACGGTTTTTCAGAACGTTTTACACATTGAATTGTTCTCGAAAGGCTTTTGGTGAATTACTGTTGTCTTGCTAGGGTTGGCTGATATTTAATTATTTACGCTATTATCTGTGATGTGTACAGTGATATTGATTATTGGTATTACTGGATAGGGATTGTTCTAATTATACACATTTTAATTCATGTGTACACATATATGCTGCACCGTAACTTAGAACTTTCCTGAAAGAGATTTGTGAAACAGATTTCATTTTTCACTTGAAAAGACACTGGATTTTGGAAATTATACTACACAAACATTTGGGAAAGAACATCTATTTACAACGTTTTTTCAGAAAAAATAAAGATGCAGAATCAGTACTTACTCCTTATTTCTGTTCTCAGTACAAGGATGGTAAAGAACTTTAACAGCCTTATGAATCTCAGCGGGCTTCGAAGGTGGTGACAGCTCAGGTTCAAATAATGCAAAAACGTTATTGGAAGCTGGGTTTCCTGATGTTTCGACCATCAGTGTGTCACAATTCAACACCCAGATCTATGGATAAGGGACAGCCTTACAAGTCACATGTCAATGGACTTATTCCACGTATAGAATCTTAGTACGGTCAGATGTTTTATTAGCAAGCACAAATTGGGATAAGGGAAAGTGGAACTATTATTAGGACTTACTTTTCTCACATAAAAGGCCATAGAGGACACAACTACTACTACTACTGATCCAGTTTCAGAGTTCTCATGCTCTCATACCATCCCTTGATCACATGACACATTTTGGAGACTTGGTAACTGGCTCACCTTTACAGCCGGTTGCAACATTCCATGGTCACGTGACTGATTTATGATGGGGTTTGTTTTTTTCCTGGTTTCCAGACTTTTTGGACATTCCAGCAAAGAACACCCCTTAGGAATACATGGGTTCGCTTAATGACCACTGCAAAAAGTGATTACCGTATATTCCGGCGTATAAGGCGACCCGGCATATAAGACAACCACCGACTTCGGCGCTGAGTCGCATGCCTAGAAAGTCATCTTATACGCCGGAAACTACCGTTATTTCCGGCGTATAAGATAACTCGGCATATAAGATGACCCCTGATTTCAGCGCCGATTTTAACGCTTGCAAAAGTCGTCTTATACGCCGGAAAGTACGGTAAATCAGGTCCAAATTGGTGGGACTTATAGCTATCATGACTTAGGATGAAAATTCCAGGCTACCTGTAGCCTAGTGTTTAAACTTCATGTGCTCTCTGGAAAATGCCAGATACTAGCTTTCTCTTTATAGAAAAAAAAATCATTTGGTTGTTTTGTTAAAGGTAAAACAGAGACAAGGATATTTCAAGCCTTCTTTAAAAGTTTCTTGCTGCCATTTCAGAACTGTAGAAAATGTGCTCTCAAAATTAAAACAGAATTGATGATTTCACCACTAATGAGGCCCTGTTTTAAGTTGGCAATGCTATTCCACGCCCCCTGCCACGATGGGTGGCTTCCATATCCAACCAGCAATTTACTATTGGTATTGGAAAGATAAAAAGAAATCTGCTTAGCAGGAGATAAGATCAAGTTATGTGGTTGGAGAACTCTGAAGTTAACCAATGGAACTCTTTTTAGGAAAAAAAAGCATTGCTTTATTTGATTTGAATGAGTGATTAGGTTATAACCTATTTTTCTACTTTGGCTAATACTCAAGGCAACTATCAAGATTCTGAAACAAAAAAGAATATAAAAGCTAAAGGTGCGGATTTATATTATCAATAAAATTGCATTAAAATAATTTAAGAAGCATAGGATGACCATACATTCCACAATCTGAGAACAATGCAGCTTGCCTAGCTGTTATTGTAAACTTCTTCAAAAGAATTCCTTCTGCAGATCTTAACAGCTGGGTAGATCTGTAACGAGATGAGGCAGTTTATAATAGATAACACTAAGACTTGTGACTATGGAGATTCTCAGTCATCCAAGTCATGGTTGTCTCAAAGGTGCTTTTTCAAGAGGCAATTGAACAGCCCTCTCTCAATAGAGCAGGGGTGTCAAACTGCCAGCCCACGGGCCGGACACGTCACGTGGAAGCCGCACCCACCCCATTGCCGGCAATGGCAAAACCGGCCCGATATGTTGCGCGACATCATGTGACATCGCAAGTTTGACATGCCTGCAATAGAGTGAGAGGGATACAACACCATCTATCTCCAGCCTACAACACATTCCTTTCAGCAGTTCCAAGAAGGCTCCACACCCACTTGCACCACTCAGGTGACTTGAGGACAGATAAACCTCCAGATGGGTCTCAATGGCTCTCTAAAACACAGGTGTCAAACTCTGTGTCACGTGACACGTTGCAACATATTGCGATTTTTTTTGCATTGCTGGAGCTAGCATGGGCGCGGCCTCCGTATCATGCAAACGGCCCGCGGGCCGGCAGTTTGACACTCCCTGCTCTAAAAGAATGCAAATGACCAGCTGTCTGCAAGGAATATAAATTCTTCGATTCCCTACCATCCAGTCAGACCTGAAGGAGCTTCTTGGCTTCTTCAAATCGAAGAATCGAAATGCCTTCAAAGAAAGAAAAACAAGAAATCCAGTTGCTTCTTGAAAAAGCATCTTTGAGACTAAGACTCGTGACTTACCAAGATATAGATTGTATGATCCATCCCTTGGATGCTGAACCTAAATGTGCTTCTAGAAGATGTGAGTTCCATGAAGCACCGGGCTATAACAGTCTGTATAAAGGAAGACCTGTTTTGGAGCAGAAAAGACAATTATTTATAAAATACCAACAAATACCATTACCGTAAATGCCGACGTACAAGGCGACCCAGCGTATAAGACGACCCCCGTCTTTATAGCCGGGCCGCATTCCTAGAACGTCGTCTTATACGCCGGAAACTACCAGTATTTCCGGCGTATAAGACGACTCGGCGTATAAGACGACCCCCATCTTTGGCGCCGATTTCAGCGCTCGTGGAAGTCATCTTATACGCCGGCATTTACGGTATTTGAAAAACAAGCGAGAACGTCAAAGAAACATTCTAGGCCCAAGTAATCAACCTTTTTAAACCAACCTTTTTAGGTCCCACATCCTGTATTTTTAGTTCATAATCTCCTAGATGTGCTGCTGAAATTTTACACCAACTGAAAATGGGAAAGAAAATGTCGCCTTCATCAATTTGGGAGAATTGAGGCTGTAAATGGGAGTCTGAGGGCCACATTCAGCTAGCAGTCTGCCCATTCATCTTCTACCACAGGGGTAGGCAACCTTGGCTCTTTTATGACTGGACTTCAACTCCCAGAATTCCTGAGCTAGCATGGCTGGCTCAGGAATTCTGGGAGATGAAGTCCACCAGTCATAAAATACCCAAGGTTGCCTACCCCTGTTCTAGGGCATTCTTGTCTCATCCTTACTGCCCTTCAGATCTATCAAAACAACATTGGTAGGACCTGGGATCCCAACCTAAGGGAACAGCATCAGGCTGCAAAAGCCACATTTGACCAAGTCACATTTTAGCATGTTCTAGTAGCATCTCTATCTTTCTTTGGATTCCACTGGGCAGCAGCAAGTATGAAACATAGGAAGAGAAAAACAAGGATTTTTCTTTTCCTATTAGAAAAGACGGGTCAAAGGAAGAAGAGGCAAGCATAAAACTCAGCTGTGGTCAATACAAATGAATCTTTGGTGATAAAATTGGCTCTGCAAATGGATTTTTTTACATTTAAAGTATAATTAACGTTATTGTCCAAAGCAGTTTTGAATTCTTTAAGAATAGCTATCCACCTGTTCTCCTGCCTCATACTACTACTACTACTACTACTACTAATAATAATAATAATAATGTTGAAAGGAACCTTGGAGGTCATCTAATCCAACCCCCTGCTCAGGCGGGAAACCCTATACCATTTCAGACAAATGGCTGTCCAGTCTCTTCTTAAAAACTTCCAGTGTTGGAGCATTCACCACTTCTGGAGGCAGGTTGTTCCACTGATTAATTGTTTTAACTGTCAGGAAATTTCTCCTTAGTTCTAGGTTGCTTTTCTCTTTGGTTAGTTTCCATCCGTTGCTTCTTGTCCTGCCTTCAGGCGCTTTGGAGAATAGCTTGACTCCCTCTTCTTTGTGGCAACCCCTGAGATATTGGAACACTGCTATCATGTCACCCCTCGTCCTTCTCTTCTTTAAACTAGACATACCCAATTCCAGCAACTTCTATCCTTCCATAGTTACAAAAACACTTTTTCCCTACATCATAATAAATTGCCACATCTATTTCGACTCAGAATGGGTCCAAGACAAAGTATCTTAGATTAATGAGAGCATGCACCAATCTTTTTCAGATTGCCTGCTATAAGTATATACTGGGCCCACAGTATGAAGCAAGCCAAGTGTCCAACACCAACAGAGCAAGGGTCCATTTCAGATACTTACAAGTACTCTATACAGCTGCAATCACATTGCAGTTATGTCAAAAGCACTGAGGCACTTCTAGGTGGACAGGAATAAATGTTACCCAGGGGACACCCAGTTGGGTGCTCCTTTCATAGCAGGAGCTGGAGTGAAGGAGGGGAGCTCACTCCACCCCATGGCAGCACTCGGGTCTCAAACGTAGGCTTGCTAACTTCCAGCCCAGCATCCTAACCACACAAGCCACCGTCCTCCTGAACAATTGCAATGACTCCCAATGCACACTTATTCTTTTTTTATTAGTTTATAATATAAAATACAAAAGAAGATAATAGGAAAAATGGGGGAGGGAAAAGGGAAAAGTCTAGAAAAGAGGGGGGAAAGAAAGAAAAGGCGTTGACTTCCGACTCCCTTTGGTGCAGTGGAATACGATAAGATCAAACCTCAGCTTTTTACTTTTATGCTTATTAGTATACACTTATTCTTGTTTATCTCTACATTTTTGACGTCCAGTGTGGTGCAGGCATAAACCATATGTTAAAAATCCTCCTTATGTAATAATGGCAACAGGATACATTCTGTGATTTTTCCCTTCAGAGTGATGTGCTTTAGTTAAATGTCACCCTACAATTAAAAAGGCAAGAAACTTTAATGAATCCGAAAGCTGCATAGGCTAGAAAGTGATGGCCAGATACCAGCTTTTAATTGGCAATTATATGATTCATGGCAGAAATTAATTAAAGCAACATTAGGTTTGCATAATGTGCCACTGATTAACCCTAACCCTTGCTACAGCAGCAAGTGAATGATTTGAGTTGGGGACTTATTAATTCTGTTGTAAGCATACTAGAAACAATGATTTTACAAGGGCATTATCAAGATATTAAGAACAGTTTCAAGGATAGAATAACCAGTATAAAAATCTGGGTGGACGGTCCAGAAGAATAAAATATACTTCTGGTTTTAATAAAAGAGTGGATTTGGCTTTGCAGATACAGCAAGAGTGAACATTCCTCTACTTAATTTGTTATCAGCTACCGAAGTTGTCCAAACCTTGTTTGGGAAGAAGAATGAGCAATGGAGCACCATATCTCAAAAGCTATAAAACAAGGCTAAAGGCCCTTCTACTCTTTTTAAAGTTACACAAAAGTTTTTTTTAATTGCCAAAATTTTATAAGAATGTTAAACGATGCAAAATTTCTATGTTCTCATATGAAATCTCATAAGATCTGAGTGCTTTATTTTTAATTAATGCTTTATTTTAAAGTAATGTTCCAAGTTCACTTATTTATTGGGGGGGGGGTAAACTTACAATGTTGTGCAGAATCACACCATGGTGCCTGCCATCTAAAAAGATTGCTATGGGAAAAGCAAGCAAAGAACAAGAGCCAATCTTTTCTGTTTACCTCTTGAACAAAAGGACAAGATTCAGTTTTTTGGAGCTACAGATGTGGCCAAAAGTATTGGCACCTTTTACTTTTTCCCAAAGAATCCCAATTTGCCATGAAACAAGTTGTCACAAATAAATGGCATCCACTATTTTTTTATTCCACAAAGCAGGAATGTATGCCCTTGATATATGACATAACATATTTCTATAAAGAATAAAATAAATGAAAACGGCATGGCACAATTATTAGTATCTCTTACAAGTTAAAAGCCATTATTGGATTTAAGAAAGGTATACTTATACTTTTGGACAACTCTGCAATCCAGAAGAGAGATTGTGCCTTTAAAATTGGCCATTTGAAATCTAAGAAATTGATAATAGAATCATCTAACAATCTCCAAGATCTTTGATTTCAATGTTTATATCCCCTAACATCACACCCTAATTACACACCTGAAAGAAAGAGAGTGGGAAAAACGTATTTAATGATTACACAATTATCATTACTTAATATAGGGTTTTAAATTAACTTCCCCAAAGACAGCCATGCCTATCAAAAAGTTGCTTTACATACAGTATTTGACAAGCCATGCCAAGTTAATATAGAAATGCATGTTATTACCTTGGTATTATGTAAAAGCTTTCTTCAGACGGCTGAACAAGCAATTCTGTGAAATAGTATTTTATGACACCTATGAGGGAAAAATGAAATCTTTGTATCATATGAATTAATGTACAATGAAAATACAACTTAAGTCAGTAAGTCATGAAAACATAATAAAGAAACAATGAACAAGTTCAAGGACATGGATCACATAGAACAGTGGTTCTCAACCTGTGGGTCAGGACCCCATTTGGGGTCCAAGGGCCATTTCACGGGGGTCGCCAAACAACGCAGTCCACCATTTTTTTTCCCCTTTTCCTTAGCTGTGCTACTCCCTTTTATTCTATTGGCTTTTGAAAGCCAATAGAATAGACTCTCTTGAATAGAGTCTAATTCTATTGGCTTTCAAAAGCCAATAGGAATTGTCCAGGCTGACTCTGCCCTGCTGAGCCCGCCAAAAGTCCCATTCTGCAAACGGTGCTGCACCAGTTAAGTAGTCCTCGACTTACGACCGGTTGAGTAGTCCTCGACTTACGACCGGTTGAGTAGTCCTCGACTTACGACCGGTTGGAGGTCGCGGCATTAAAAAGGTTGAGAACCACTGACAGAACTAAGTAGATAAGAAAGGAGCCACAAAGAACTAGGGCTCAAGAGAAAGGGACTCAAATAAATATTAAACCTGCCTCTGCTGCCAACATTGCAATAATTTGTATCCTACCCAAATTAATTCCTTAGGTGCCCATACCAAACAACAAAATAGTATTTGTTTTCTGCTTCCCCTTCCTCGTATCATTCCTTCTTTCTCCAGCAGACCCACCACAAACACACCAATTCCCTTACAAAATGAAATCAACTGGGAAAGTGTTAAAAAATTAAAATTGTTATCTCTGGTAGCTCTTAATGGACTTTTGCTGAGTGATAAGCTTTTTAGGTTTTATTTATAAATAAAAGATGAGGCAAAAGAAGAAGAGGTCATATATTGTATTTTAAGACAAAGTGGTAAGTTACTAAAATTATTTACACTTGCTGTGATGAAAGGAGAAGTCACTGTTTTATATATTTCTTTTTACTATATTCTTATTTTCTTTTTGTCCATCTTCTCCATTTTTATTTTTATTCTTTTAGTTTTCTTAGTTTGTATCATTTTTTAATCTTTGTCACTGTAATGCTTAATACGTTGAAATATGCCGAGAAAGATTCTAGGATCAAGAGGTTTTTCATTTTCAAAAAGGCAATTAGTCAAAATGATAAGTATATTAATTCAGAGCACAGCACACCATTAAACACATCTTATATGACCGTCAGTGGGAACAGATTACAAATCCCATGCTCCTTTTCCATTTTCCAAAGGCACCAGGTTGACTACTGTTGGATGCTAGGCAACATGACTCTTTGAGTCTGGCTCTTCTTAAGAATTAGAGTTTGGAGCTGGAGGGTCTTCTTTTTGCCTAGACCTGATCCTGTTCCTCTTCTGACATGGAGCTATGCAATTAAAGAAAAACTTATTCTATTAAACTTCTGCATGTCAGTCATGTATTAAAGGTCCAAGAAGGGGATGAATTGGAAAAATATGTGGCAATTTTATAAATATGTACATTCTGCTACTCTCACATTTCTGGGATGCTTGTATTATTCAAATGCATTATTAATGTGTACAAAATTGAAACTGTTCCCAAAAGATTTTAAAATTAGGCTTTAACAGTCCAACCAAGCGATGTGGTAGGGCAGCTTTTCTCAATCCGGACCACCCGGAGACATGTGTATTTCAGCTCCCACCCCACCCCAGTTCCAAAGACAGATGGCCTTTGCAGGGATCTCTGGGAGTTGAAGGCCATACTTTTGAAAGTCACTAAGGTTGGGGTAAAAGCTATATATTAGAACACAAAAATATCCTTTTGCTCATTCCCCCAAAAAATGAATTCTCCTTTGATTCAAGTTCAATAGCTGGTGTCATCATAGACATCCATATCCTTTGCTTGGCAAATATACAGAAGGAGTTTGCTGTTTCCTTCTTCTGAGATGTATTTTTCTTTCCCAGTCTAGTTAACAGAGAGAACCAGTTTGGTCTAGTTGTTAAGGCAGCAGGTTAAAAAGCCGGAATCCATGAGTCCATGAAAGCCAGCTGAGTGACTTTGAGCCAGTCACTCTCAGCTCAACCCACCACACAGGGTTGTTGCTGTGGAGAAAACATGAGGAGGAAGGCGTATTGGGTTTATCTGCCATCTCGAGACATTTGTACAAATATTAAAAGCGAGATATAAATGTATGCAGGTATGTGTGTATATATGTATGAATGTATGTCCTGGGGCTTCTTAGTAGCCTCCGATCCGAGGGCTAATCTCCAGTTAAGTTTTTCAAGATCAGTCAAAGTTACCCAGCTGCTATACCCTAGCTCAGGGGTAGGCAACCCAAAACACTCAAAGAGCCACTTGGACTCGTTTCCCACCGAAAACAAAACACCGGGAGCCGCAAAACCCTTTTGATCTCTAAAATGAAGATAACACTGCATATATCCTTTTTTACCTTTATTATAGGTGTGTGTGTGTGTGTGTGTGTGTGTATGTATATGTATATGTGTTTGTGTGTATACACACACACACACACACACACATACACACACAGGTAAAAAGGATATATGCAGTGTTATCTTCATTTTAAATGTCAAAAGGGTCTCTCTCTCTCTCTCCCTCCCTCCCTCTCTCTTTCTCTCCCCCCCCTCTCTCCTTCTCTCCTATCTGCTGCTCACCTGGCAAGTTGGCTTCAAGCTGTTCTCCAACAAGCTCAGGGGTAGGCAACCTCGGCTCTTTTATGACTCATGGACTTCAACTCCCAGAATTCCTGAGTCAGCATAGCTGGGCTAGCTAGCTCTCTCCTGCCCTTCCTGCTTCCTGCTTCCTGCAGAGACGCAGCAAAGGGAGGAGCCACGCCCAAAAAGCTTTTCAGCTCCTTGGAGAACACTGTGAGTGCACTCTCTTCTACACACACGCACACACACACACACACACACACACACACACACAGAAAGAGAAGCAGGGAAGCGCAGTTGCCTCTCTCTGTCTCTGTCCCTGTCTGCAAATGGCAGAGGAGGCTGGGAGCCACAAGGGAAGGCTCAAAGAGCCGCACACGGCTCCGGAGCCGCAGGTTGCCAACCTATGCCCTAGCTAGATATTTTTGTTAAAATAAGGAAAAACAAAAACAAAACAAATAAGGTATCCCCTCCTCAAAAAGAGGATAGATTTCTTGGGGAAAGTAGGGGAAATGGTGTTACTCTGCTCAGGAGTGATAGGAAAACAGCAGCAATATTTTATCATAGAAAGAAGCATGTGGTAGTGAGACAGTCACCGGAAATAGCAACTCTTCACATAATTCTTTGAGATGGGTCACTTTACTTCCTAGGAAGTAAGGGTATCCCTGACTTTGCAGGTACATTTATAGTATTCTCCCTATTTTTTTTTTTAACTCCTAAATCCATACAGATTTTATGGCTACTTAATGAAAATATATTTAGAATAAAAGAAAGAACCTCAGCCCTTTCAAACCCACCTAAAACCAGCTATTTTAGCAGGTCGTTTCAAAACCTCCCTAACAGTAGCTGACTAAAACAGCTTTCAAAGATTTTATCTAAGAATTCAGTACCTGAGGGCATAGCTTCTCCCAACAACGTCTTGCAGCGCTTGCAAATTATTATACTATTTGCCTGTGAATTCTGCAAAGCAAAGGAAAAGATTTAAATGTCTTCTTGTTTGGTAGATACATGAGAAAATCTGTTTAAAATTTCTACAAATAATTCAATCTGTTGGACAATTTTCTCCTATTATATTCCAGACAAATGAGCCCATGTCTCTTTCAAACTCCCAGCATGAACATATTAAGGAAGACTATTATAATTCCGTAACAATGACCAATCAGCCCTTAAAAATGACTGAAGGTGATCCCCATTACTGTCTATAATAAAGAGCCCACCAGCATACAGTTATTAAACTGCGAAGCTGATGATTTATTCACAGAGAGCATTTTATTAAAATTGAGGCATGGGTATGCGTATTCAATCACCCAGAAGACTGAAGACTTCACCATGAATTCCAGATTCGTGCACGGTAGAAAAGTACTAGCAGTTTCAGCATCAAATTACCAAAAGCTGTTTGAGAAGAGGTATAATCGTCAAAGCCATATGTAAGAATGTAAGCTGCTCTAGTAATTCATGAGCAGACCTGTAAGTCACGTCGATTGAAGTAATTACAGGCAATCCTCAGCTTACAACCACAATCAAGCCCAAAATTTCTGTTGCTAAGTGAGATATTTGTTAAGAGAGTTTTGCCCCATTTTACGACCTTTCTTGCCGCAGGTGCTAAGTGAATCATTGTAGTTGTTAAGTTAATAACATTGCTGTTGAGTGAATTGAGATGGGTCACTTCCCCATTGACCTCACTTGTCAGAAGGTCACAAAAGCTGATCACATGAGCCCGGGACACTGCAACTGTCATAAATATGAACCAGTTGCCAAGCGTCTGAATTTTGATCATGTGACTGTGGGGATGCTGCAAATATTGTCAAGTGTGAAAAACAGTCACGAGTCAGTTTTTTCAGTGCCGTTGTAACTTTGAATGGTCATTAAATGAACTGCTGTAAGTGGAGGACTACCTGTTATTTCCATTTTGCAACATCCTGGGTGAGAAAAGGAGGAGGAAAGTGCCATGGCAGGACAAGTAACTTCCTTTGTAGAAGACCCATGACATATCCAAATGGCCAGGCAAACCCTTTGGTCATTCAGCAAACTCCAACACACAGCAGTTACAGCAGTCAAACGGACAGCACAGCAGCAAAAAACTTCCCTTTTATACTCAGGCTCTTAAAGGGATACACACACTTGCTGAGTCATTCCTATGATTGCATCATCCTATCATTGCATCATCCATATTACATTACATCCGCTGGTTAGCCTTTAAATTATTACCTTGATATGTTATTTTTATACCACGAAAAAGCAGCAGAGCAAAGTTAAACAATTCCAGATCGCTAGCTTTCTGAAGACTCATTATCACTTAAGGTCCCACTACAAAACCTGTAAACCCCACTTTTTTTTTAAATCCTATCCTTTGTTTTGGTAAGGATATGAGCTCTCAAGATGAAGAGCGACTGAAAGATGCACTACTGTATGTGCTAAAGAAAGAAACAGACAGTTTAGTCCAAAGTTACCCAGTGAACATCAGGACTAAACAGAGAGGTAAATCTACATTGGTGCCCTTCAGATCTGTTAAATCAGAATTTCCATAATCTCCACCAGCTTGACTATAGTCCAACGCACTTAAAAGACAACCGTTTTCATTGCCTAGACTAATAAAAGGTTATGCAGTTAGGATTCCTCAGAAGGACCAAACATGGACTTGAACATACGCCTTTTGCCAAATTTTACAAGCAGTCCAAAGCCAAAAATCTACATAATTTTGAATCTGTGCAACTTAAATTGAACATAAATTCCCAGCAGAAAACCTAATACTAAATTCTGTGTTAAAATGAACCCTAATTTTATGGCATGAAAGAGGAATTATTCTAGTCCAGTGGTTCTCAACCTGTGGGCGGGACCCCATTTGGGGTTGAACGACCATTTCACAGGGGTCGCCAAACAACGCAGTCCACCATTTTTTTCCCCTTTTCCTTAGCTGTGCTACTCCCTTTTATTCTATTGGCTTTTGAAAGCCAATAGAATAAACTCTCTTGAATAGAGTCTAATTCTATTGGCTTTCAAAAGCCAATAGGAATTGTCCAGGCTGTCTCTGCCCTGCTGAGCCCACCAAAAGTCCCATTCTGCAAACAGCGCTGCACCAGTTGAGTAGTCCTCGACTTACGAACAGTTGAGTAGTCCTCGATTTATGACCGGTTGGGGGTCACGGCATTAAAAAGGTTGAGAACCACTGTTCTAGTCCATATATCTGGCACTCTTTATCTATGGCCTCATTTTCTGGTTTATTGATGTATCCAGAGTTTAAAATATGTGCTAGAATTTAGTGTCTATAATACATACAGCTTTGCATATTTAGTTTTTGCCACATTTTTTGGAATACTATAGAAATTATAATGTGGATATGTTTTTTTTCACAATCTCATTATCTGTGATTTCATTATCTCAGGTTGCTCAGCTGGAAGAGAATTCCTGCAAATAACAAGGGGAATTTATATACAGTGTGCAAGAGGACGAATCTGGATTATATTTTTGCTGAAAACTATGCTAGGCAATTTAATATTATAAAAGAAACCATCTGGATTGGAACTACGTCTGCCTTGTTTTCAACCGTATCCAAGAATATGGTTTTAAAACGAGTATTTGTTGATTTATTTATTTAATATATTTCTTTATTAGATTTAGAGGCTGCCCAGTTCCAAAATGACTCTTAGTCACGCTAAATATAAATGACACTAAAAATAAAATTAAGGAAAAATAATAAAAAGAAAATTACAAACACCAGACAGCCACACTCCCTCTAATAAGAAACATCACCAACAAACTTAACAAATATCTTTCCCCAAGGCCCAGGAAAACAGCAGGTTTTTAAAGACTGCTAGAGCATCATAAGGATGGGAGCTATATAGATCTCTGGAAGAATATTAGGAAGCCTCATGTACAACTCTACAACAGTCCAACTGTGGGGCCACTAGAATATCAGTGACTGGATGGACTCCTGATCCGCGAACTAGAAATGTAATCTGTGATTATCTCCAAGCAGAGCTGACAAAGGTTTCTCAAACTCGGAAGAACCAAGTCAACTCAATCAGTGCCTCCAGAATTTCCACAGTTCTTTGCCATTGGCTGTATTGTTTAAGGCACCAAGTTCCTTCCCTCTACTGCAGTGGTTCTCAACCTGTGGGTCGGGACCCCATTTGGGGTCGAACGACCATTTCACGGGGGTCGCCAAACAACGCAGTCCGCCATTTTTTCCCCTTTTCCTTAGCTGTGCTATTCCCTTTTATTCTATTGGCTTTCGAAAGCCAATAGAATAGACTCTCTTGAATAGAGTCTAATTCTATTGGCTTTCAAAAGCCAATAGAATAAAAGGGAATAGCCCTGCTGAGCCCGCCAAAAGTCCCATTCTGCAAACGGTGCTGCACCAGTTGAGTAGTCCTCAACTTACGACCGGTTGAGTAGTCCTTGACTTACGACCAGTTGGGGGTTGCGGCATTAAAAAGATTGAGAACCACTGCTCTACTGTCATACCTCCTTCTTAGCTCTATGGACCATGAAATCTCCCCTTCTGGGGCTTCTCCTGTTCTTTTCATCTCACTGCACAATATGCAGAAGCTCCTGAACATGGACGTTTTTTCTTTTTGTTTTTAACAAAGCCACCGTGGCTAATTGTTTTTGCCTTAGTTGCTTTTGTTTAATTCTTATTGTCCATTAATTAATTCACGGTGAATATAAGTAGCATACAGTCTAAAATTTTTTCTTACAAAATAAACATTCAGAGGTTATGTTGCATTTCGCACACAATTCTGATGTTACCACTCTGTTGTCCAATATATTTTCTTCTGATTAGAACTTCATGTAATGATTAAAAAAAAAAATCACAGTACCAAGAACTTCATGGTTTTGCTGACCTGAACAGAAATAACAGTATGTTTTTGCCACACAAATTAAATCAATGTATCTTGTGTGACAACTTTCAGCTGTTGGCTAGCTGCACACTATTTTTTCCCCCCACTTCTATCTGAAAATGTCCTTGATATTGTCTGGAAGAAAACATTTTCCTCTAGAGATAAGCGGTTAGAACAGTTTGCGACCTTGGAGCATCTAAAATTATGTTGTGTGATGATTTGGAGAAAAGTTGTCTGAAGCACAGGAAATAGGATGGTGTTCAGTGGCACATAGGTTGACACACAAGCCAAAGCACTGCTTCAGGGTTCATTATTCAATGACTTATCACCTGCTGAGACTTAACAAAGTGGGTGAAATGCTCCATTAAGGAGTCCTGTTTCAAGTGATGTGGAGGGTTTGCCTGATGTTACAATTGTCAAGTGATGAAAACACACTTCAGCATTCTCCAAGCTTTATGAAAAACAACAGCCCTCAAATAATAATTTGTTTGTGGATAGGGAAGAAGCAAGGGAAGGATATTACAGGCTTTTAGCTCTTTCAGTTATAGATACAAGGGTTTGGATTCTGTTCATGGTTTTATGGAATGTTATTGATTTTTATTGTTCTGGGGGGAGGGATTTCCAGATAACTGGGAACTCTCAGTTATTGTTTACAACCAGCCAAATTAAAAATATAGTACCAATAAAGCACTGACCTAAAAGAAAATTCAAATTATATATATTTAGGATCCAATCTGGGTTGGTCACTGGGACCAGAGATTTAATCTTCCGAGCTTCTGGACTCATGCTGGGGCTCATCGTCAGGGAACTTCTCTCTAGCAGAGTATATGCTAGAGGGAAGTTTCCTAAGATGGGCCCCAGCACGAGTCCCAAAGCTCGGAAGACTAAAACTCTGGTCCCAGTCACCGATCCAGATTGGGTCCTGCAACATTATCCTGGGACACGTATATTTTTCATTCATATTAAATTAATTATATAATAAAACATCTAATATTCTTTGAATAAGCGCTGACAAACAGATGCAATGACTGTGTAGTTTGGGTGGCACTTTTTTCTTTTACATTAATAGTAAATAAATAACATGCACTTCCTTTGTTCTAACTGACATTTAAATCAGTAAGAGCTTGTTAAAAATGAATAAGGCTCCCTATAAATCTAGCGATGCAATTATACATGAGCCACTGACTTTCTCACCTGTTCCAACAGACTTGGGTAGCAATAGGAACATCACAGCATTGTCCCATCAATAAGACTGTTATTCAGAGGAATAATGAACCTAGAGTAATACATTCTTCTGCATCCTATTTAACTCTTGGTAGTACCCTCTCCCGTGCAGTGACAATTGACATCGAGGTCAACTGTAGAATTGTCAAGGCAAGTTCTGCATTTGGCAGATTGGGGACTAATGTGTGGGACCGCCGTGGAATAAGTCTTGCTACCAAGCTTAAAGTTTACCAGGCAGCAGTGCTAACTACCCTGATGTATGCTAGTGAGACCTGGACAGTGTACAGGAGGCACGTTAGGCAACTGAACTACTTCCACATGACTTGCCTTCGTAGAATTCTGAGGATCCAGTGGCAGGATAAGATACCAGACACAGATGTCCTCTCCACAGCAGGCTTATCATCAATTTACACTCTGTTGATGAAAGCCCAGATGCGCTGGGCAGGCCATGTTGTAAGGATGCCAGATGATCGCATCCCTAAACAGCTCCTCTATGGTGAGCTGTCTCAGGGAAAGTGATCGCACGGGGGACAAAAGAAGTGATACAAAGACACGTTGAAAGCCTCTCTCAAGTCCCTGGATATTAACACCATCTCTTGGGAACTTCTGCCGCATGATCGACCGACATGGCGCACCTTGGTGTACCAGGGTTGCCAGACATATAAACACAGAAGGACAATCTTGGCACAAGAGAAGCGAGCACTCCCCAAAGCCAGAGCTGTAAATGCTGAAGTAACAGTGTCTACATTTCTTTGTTCAGCAGAACATTCCGTGCTAACATCGGTCTGATTAGCCACCTACGGACACATCGCTGATGGACCATAACCCACAAGATGTCAAGGTCTTCATTCAAATCGATGGACAAACAACATTTACATAATTTTAAACAGTAGCTCCTGATTTGCCCAAGCAAATTGTGACCAGAAATCATACTCCAGTCTTTAAAAGTTCAGTATTATTTGCCCATGCTTCAAGGAACAATTTATTTGTCTAACCCAAAGTACTTAAGGTCTTCTAAGTCCACAAAGGTGTAGCTCATTTTCAGGGGAAGATTTCCAGGAGGACAGAAAGCTGTGCTGTAAAAAAGTGACTAACTTCAAAAGCATTAAAAGCTCCAGAGGAAAAAAAGCTACTTAAGCCAGCAAGGTAAAGTGGAAGAACTGAATTCAGATCACTCAGACTCCAAATGCGGAGAGCCGTTTTATATGCAGTGATGGATTGTACAAATGGCTATGAGAAATTTGGATTGAATAACCAGGTTTCCAAAGCCTTTAATGAGACACACCTGGGCCCCACATACTAACAGACTGCTGATCCTGCTTTCAAAATATTTTAGTGTTGGAGGGATGTGTAATTTCCACCCTTGTCACAAAAGATGCCAAGAGTGGCCAATAAATTCCACTAAATGCTCCCCAGAAGAGATCATTGTTGGATTTTTCCAGAACCAGAGGAGTGTAAAATAATTCATAGATCTCAGAAGGATATCTTTGCTTTTATAATGTTCTGGTTAATTTGCTTGCAGTTCACAAAGCTCTTTATAGAAGCCATACATACTTTTCATGACAGTTTACAGTTATACACACACACACACACACACACACACACACACACACAAGAACATCATGTAGTAACATAAGCACATGTCATTTAACCTTACACTGGCTGGGTCTGCATATTGCACCACATTACAAAATGATTTGTTAGGGTTTGCCTTACCACAATAAGCAAACTCAAGTACTATGGTTTGCAAAACATAGTTTATGGCTTAGCCTGTTATGTTTTTCAGGCAAATGAGGCTTTCCTAGCTTAAGTACTATCAGTGAACCCAAACAACTATACTAATAAATCTATCGTGATCTCTCCAAAATCTTTTGCATACACACCAAAAACTGTTATACAAGAGTTCAGATCCAGGAATTGGGACTTTGTGACCCTTCAAATGCTGTTGGACTACAAGTCCCATAATGGCCAGAATGTGGTGAACTCACACTGTTTCTAGTACCTGACTTAATGGAAATAGCAGTCATTGAACTGTGTAACTCAAAGGAATGCAGTCTTTTGTCTTATTTTCTGTATATATTTACCGAGAGAGACTCACTACTTGTAGTCCGCTCATCCTCTGAATGAAGCCTTCTGGATTCTGTTCCTGGTAACTCAGTTCCTGAATTAATCAGGAAGTAATTGTGCCCAAGAAAACAGTCATCGTTTTGGGGATGAAGCAGGCTACTGTTGAAAGGATTAGGATGGCAACACCATTCATCAACCAAATCACTCCAGTTCTCGAAAGGAAGTGAAAGAACCCGGAGAAATGTCCTAAGCAAGAAGAGAATGAGTTGATTATCATAACAGAGACAACAAGAATCAAGGCTGTACAAACTGCAGGATAATTGTATGAATAAAGGGACCAGATTTTCTACTGTTTCTGATGCTGAAAAAAGGACCAGATTTTGTACTGTTTCTGATGCTGAGAACCCTATATAAAAATGGAGATTAAGGGACAAATTATAACTTTACAGGGGAGAACCTATGTTTCTGTATCTTAGCATAATGGTACCTGGAGCACATGGGAAAAATTGGTCTAGGCCAGGGGTAGGCAACCTTGGCTCTTTTTGGACTTCAACTCCCAGAATTCCTGAGCCAGCCATGCTGAGGGGAAAGGGAGAGGTTTCCAAGCTGAGCCATGCTGGCTCAGGAATTCTGGGAATTGAAGTCCACAAGTCATAAAAGAGCCAAGGTTGCCTACCCCTGGTTTAGGGCTATTAACAGAATTGAATTGGTATGGTTCAGTGACAGAACAGAAAGCAGCTTCCGACTGAATATACTTCACAAAAAACAATCTACCCTGAGATGGGCTGGATCAGGGGAGCACACATAGTTCAAAGTCTCCCGATTTGCAGAAATTTAAAACAGATTCTTAAAGTAGCAAGTACAAGGTAGCCTTGCTTTTTTTTTTCTTTTGAAGATGGCAACTAAAATATTCATGCAGATAGGTATATATGCATTCATTCACTGTATTGAATGAATACAGATGTGACTGTGGCTAGTTGAGGCAAGGGGGAAACTGGTCTTCACTAATAATCCCGGTGAATCAATCCATTTTCTTCTATTATTCAGACATTAAGCAATATTACATACACCATCATATTACATACTCCACCACTGCCAGTTTTTAATTGTCAGCTAATATATTATACAGACTTAAATCAATCTGACTCAAAAATAGGCAGAGTAGGGCCATGCCCATCCTCTTGTATCCCAAAGGTGCTTTTTCAAAAGGCAACTAGACTTTCTTTGTTTTTCTTTGAAGACGTTTCGCTTCTCATCAATATTAAGATTGAACAGCCCTCTCTCAAAAGAGGGTGAGGGGTACGACACCAGCTATCTCCTGTTTGCAATACAGTCCTTTCAGCAGTTCCAAGAAGGTTTCATACCCATCTGCACTAGTCAGGTGACCCTGAGGGCAGATAAACCTCCAAGTGGCCTCAATGACTCTCAGAAAGAGTGCTAACAACCAGATGACTGCAAGGAATATAAATCCTTCCATTCTCCACCATTCAGTCAGAACTGAAGAAGCTTCTTGAATGAGAAGCAAAAATGTCTTCAAGGAAAAGCAAAGAAAGTCCAGTTGCCTTTTGAAAAAGCACCTTTTGTTAAACCATGACTTGGATGACTGAGAATCTCCACAGACATCCTCTTGTATCACTTCCAACAATGTTATGACAGATGATAAAAGTTGTTTCCCTCTTCCCATATGTCTTTGCCTCATGGATGAACTCTTAAAAGCAGAGCTGATCAGTTCAGAAGCAAAGCAATGAAAGGATGTCTACATCCATATAAAAGCTTCAATTGGACCCTAAAGAGAATTATTAAAGGGAGCCACACGGATGATTTAGTCTTACAGAAGAAATATGGACAACATGCCTACTTCTGTTAAAGCGGGGGAGAGGGGGGAAACGAGACAAACAGCCTGAAACTAGATTATCACAGTGAAAATGCACAGATAGCAACTAATTTCTCTGCCTTTGCTCCACATACAGTAGGTGAGTGAAAGGGGTTTATTGTTTCTACTATAAATATGTCTTCTATCTCTTACACTTAATGCTTGCTGGAATTTTGCATTAGCAGCTTTCCCGGTTCTTGCAATCAACATAATTAAACAGCTGTAATTTGAATCACTATCTGTGAGCCTTATGATGCTTTAAGATTTACTTTCAGAGGGCCAAACAGTGTAACGTGGACACAGAATTACTTGCAGTACCATCTCATATTTCACACTTAGTTGACAAGAATGCATTTCATTGGTAGTTGTTTGGCAGAAGTCCAGACAAGAACATCTGGGGCAAACTGCTCCCTTTATAGCCAACTGGCATCTTCTCTGTCATGCCATATATAAACCCAACCAAGATAACATACATCTCTCATTCACAATTAGAAAGCTCAACTAATTCCAGTGACTTTTGCTTAATCCAGTGGTTCTCTACCTGTGGGTCGGGACCCCATTTGGGGTCGAACGACCATTTCACGGGGGTCGCCAAACAACACAGTCCGCCATTTTTTCCCCCTTTTCCTTAGCTGTGCTACTCCCTTTTATTCTATTGGCTTTTGAAAGCCAATAGAATAGACTCTCTTGAATAGAGTCTAATTCTATTGGCTTTCAAAAGCCAATAGGAATTGTCCAGGCTGTCTCTGCCCTGCTGAGCCCGCCAAAAGTCCCATTCTGCAAACGGTGCTGCACCAGTTGAGTAGTCCTCGACTTACGACCGGTTGAGTAGTCCTCGACTTACGACCGGTTGGGGGTCGCGGCATTAAAAAGGTTGAGAACCACTGGCTTAATCGATATACAGTTCTACATATTTTTATTTTGCCCAAGCAAACAAATCGGTTTCTACAATAGAAAAATAAAGAATAGCATATCATTTAGGGTTGTGTTAAAGCAATACATTTTGATAGCAAACAACGCTAGGGTTTTTTTCCACCCACCGGCTCAAAACCTGATACACCATATGTAATGTAAAAAAAGGTAGTTTAAATAGACAGCCCTTGCCATTTATTTTTCAGTGTTCCTATAAAGTAAATGTGCAATGATATTTGGAATTAAGGAAGGGTCAAGGCCAAAAGACTGAGCTGAGGAAAATTAATTTAAAGGGCATGCCACCCACTTCCAATCTTGTGAATGGCAAGGGCAGTACCATGAAAAGTATTATGCCTATATCTCATGCAGAAAAACAATCTGTGAAAAGAATAAACATGGCTCAATAGTCAGGTGACACAACCTCTCCAGTTCTCAACAGTCATGGTTTTGTAACCTATACAGTAGAAAAACAGGCAGTCTCTGATTCATTAGTATAATGTAGCAAAGACTCTGCAGATTCAGTTGGGGGGGGGAGGAAATCTTGGCTTGCCCTGTGGAAAAAAAGACTAAAAGGAGAGGAAAAAGTAGTCTCTCTTTGGGACGAAAAGCCAAATCTCCTACAGAAACATACAGTGAACCACACAAGCCTGCTAACTGAATATCTTACCATGTTTGGTACACGCCAATAAAATATTTTTTCAATTAATTATGAACAACATTCACATTTTAAGATGGCTACCATTTTTCTCAGCCGCTGGTTTTAAACAAAATCCAGCTTAAAAATGAACTGTTTTTCATGTTGCTGGAAATCTTCATCTCCTGTTTTTCAGTTGAAAAGGTCTCAAGACAGAGCGTTGCAAGGCATCTAAAAATATTGATGGTGTTAATAAAAGTAAAAAGAACAGAGGAAACAAAAACACCATTCATAGTGTACAAGAACTATTGTACACAGGCAACAGAGATTTTGAACCTTTTGAAAGGACACCAAATTCCTTACCTTTCTCACCCAGACTTCACTTCCAGATTATCTGAGTTCAAAGTTCACCAGCTGCTACGGTACATTTCTTCTAGTGTGGGATTTGCAAATACATTCATCGATAGGAAAATCTCACAGAGTACAGTACTTACCTATTATTAATTACACTCTCCCCGCAACATTGGCAGAAAAAAGTACAACTCTTTTTGGATTTTAGGCCATTTCCAACAGCTGGTGTCAATTCTGAAAGATATTGAAGAACTTAACTAACAACAGTAAAACTACATATTCATATTCACACCAAGAATTTAGTGTAGCACTGGATTCACAACAACAATATTTTTTATAACATATTTTATTCGCCATATCATCTCAGTAATGAGGAAACGTTCCTGAAAGAGAGTCTTGTATTATCACACCATATTCCACACAATGAATTTTAACCCAACAGCTTGAAGATCACATAGCAAGATCATAGCTGAAATAAGATTCGAACCAAAGACTTTCTGGAGCAATTTTCCCAGCCTTCGTGATGACTGGATTGCTGGCCTTCTCATCTTAAAATTAACTGTGCTAACTGGAGAATTCTGCAGATGAAGTCCACGTGTTGGGAAAGGTTGCTTCAAAGGATAAACCTTCAGTGACTTGCTGACTGCTAGTCAGGGATCTTTCTAAGTCTCCAGGATCAAAGGGGCAAATATAGGTTTCATGCCCAATGTGGCAATGAATCTTGACTTTCACAACTCTCAGAATTTTTTTATTACAGAAGTTCATGGACATGACATAAGTACATTAATTGTTCTAGTGGAGACCAAAAAAGAAGGCATCTGTCTCCTGCAGTACATAAAAAACAAGCACATGTAGGTTTCAATAAGGCCTTTTGAAATCAATGGAGATTAGGCCATTTTCTTCCCAACCTGGAGATTGGGAGCCTTAATGTTGACATTATGATTCTGCCCAACCTGGGAACCGGTTGTTCCTCATGGCTTCACTTCCATGACTTCAACTCCTACTTCAGTTTACAGTATCTTCATTATATGTGGCTGGTCTTTGTGAATATGCCTTAAATAAAGTTGGAATTGGATGTTTTTGAAGAGTAAAATCATTATAAAAATTTATGAACATTATTAATTTAAAAATTAAAGGCTTCATTAATATTAACTTTAAAAATATATATTCTGTGAATATATGATTAAATAATTTGTTGCTCCCAAAAGGTGCTTTAAACTCTGGAAAGAAATAATCTGCTATCTCAAAGATCTCCTAAAATAAGCACAAATCCAGTCAAGCAACGCTACATCCAATCTATGAATAACATAACACCGGAAAGTCTCCTCTTTACAGGCAATATTTCCTGTGAATTATGGGCTGATTATATACATCTACTGATAAATAACCTGCACAGAATCAAAAAGTTTAGCTCTCAGTAAGCGTAAGTGGAGCTAAGATTCCTAAAGAGAAAAATAAAGTGCAGAACATGTAGCATTAGCAGCAGAATAAAAAATATCACTTTCTGATACAAGCGAACAGAACAATTTCTTAAATCTCAACATCTCAGCCAGGAAAGCTGTTTCAATAGTCTTAATATTTTGCATATTAAAATATGTTGATATGTTTTCCTATGAAGCATGACGATTCATATTTATTTTCATGAGGTACAGATCAATGAAACTTTGGAAATAAACAAAGCTGAACTGTGATCATCTTAACTATAATGTCACTACTAAACATTAGGATTTTTTTTCCCCTAGTCCAATGTTTTACAGGTAAACGCGGCTTTCCTTGAATACTTTTAACTCATCTAATTTTGATAATTTTATTTTACAAGTGAACTTTCAAGTAGAGATCATCAGCAGAAAAGAAATAAATGAAAAAAAGAAAATTCACTCTTACTTGTACTGAAATCTGCTTGAACTTGCAGCCTCATATGTAAGCCTTCCCCAGGCAGATATTGCAGTCCTCGACAGGAAGAAGGCACAATCCTGACCTCTGGTGGAAGCCCGAAAGCTCTGCAAGCTTTATCACTTTTTAGCTCTATTAAAGAAGGCATCAGAGTAATATCCATAGGCCAACTTTCTGGATTTAATTCACTACAGGGATTTAAGCAAGAACAATGATATCCCATTAGCAAATAGTTGCAATAAAAATCCACATGGCTGGGAAAGTCTCAAAAGGAGATATTTGAAATTAGTTAAGGCATTTCTGTACCTCACTTCATAAAATGGATACAGTGCAAACAAATAAACATACAGAATAATTAAATCCAGCATTTTGCAGGAATGGAAAGCAAGCTGATAAAGAAGTCTCCTGTATCCTTGATTAGGCCTGAGAGATATACAAAAGATTGTGAAAGATGTCATCCCAGGTTGCACTAGGATGGGGAACTGCCAAGATGAGGACCTGCCCATGATTGTGTGTGGAGATTCTCAGTCATCCAGGTCACAGTTGTTTCAAAGGTGCTTTTTTGTCTTCAAAAAGCAACTGGACAGTTTTTTCCTTGAAAACGACCAAACGTTTTGTTTCTCATCCAAGAAACGTCATCAATTGTGATGGTGGGGGTGGGGGAAATGGAAGGATAGGTACTGACAACTGAGACTGGATGGTGAGGGGATGGAAGGATGGGTTCTGACAGGACGGTAGGGGTGGGGTGTGGAAGGATTGTACTTCTTTGCAGTCATCTGGTCGTTAGTACTTTCTCTGAGACCTTTTGAGGCCACTTGAGGGTTTACCTATGTCCTCAAGGTCACCTGAATCAGAGTGCAATTGTTTGTGGAATCTTCTTGAAATTGCTGAAAGAGCTGCATTGTAGACAGGAGATAGATGGTATCATATTCCTCCCCCTCTGCTAATTCTAATATAGATGGATTCTTTTACCCTTCTTTGAAACCAGTGGTACTCTCTATAGTCTATAGCAGGGATCCTCAACACCCGGTCCATGGACCAGTACCAGGCCGCAGCATGCCAGCAACTGGGATGCACAAACAAGCAAAGCCCCATTCATGGGATGCAGGCAGCACACAAACCCACACCCCCTCCTGTCTGTGGAAAAACCTCTCTCCACGTAACCAGTTCCTGGTGCCCAAAAAGTTGGGGACTTCTGTCTGTAGGATTATGTTAGAATTGTTAGAACTATTAGAAATGATGAAGCTTCTTGGATGAGAAGCAAAACATTTTCTTTTTCTTCCTCAAGGAAAAAAACAGTCCAGTTGGCTTTTGAAGGGAAAAAAAATGTGCCCCAGAGCTGTAGCGTAGCACTGATTTTGCCGTTCTGCTGAAAGATCGTTCAGATGCTGTTGCTTTGGAAATAGCAACATCCTAAATCTAACAGAGGAACGTTTTAATTCCCCGTGTCATGCTGTGTGAAATTTCAAGGCTGCAGTCCTTGTAAAAAGAAGTTACAGAAACTAATTTCAGCACAAAATAAAATAATCAGTGTAGAATTCAATAAAGGAGAGAACACTCTCTCATCTAACTGACCTGGTCTTCTGGAAACATTACTTATGGTAATTAGGTGTCCGTGACAGGAATGACATGGTGTCAGCAGTGGTCATTTTATATAATTCAGTATCTTGCCTCTCTTTTCATAATTTCCTCGAAAAGGGGAAATTGCGAAAAGAGAGGCAAGATACTGAATTATTTAAAATACTGTTCTCTCAGGATGGTATTTCATACATTTGCTGAAGTTGATTTTGATTCATCAAAGCTTATGTGATATACACCTGTTAAGATTAAAAAGCATCACAAGATGTTTCAGCCTTAACTTCAAATCAACCTAGTCATCTCTCCAGAAATCATTTACTGTCCTCCTGGCATGGACTTCATGATTGTTGTATTTCTTTGTTAATGTATTCCTCTGGAGACTGGAAAAACTGCACCGGTCTCTGTCACTGAAGACCTACAGCAGGACTAGGATGGTAGAAGCAGGACATTAACTTTTTGGGACATATGGGCAAAGTTGTAATTCCCAAATTTATCACAGATATTCTCACACAAAAAAATGAAAGGTATGAGTAGGAATGCCAATTCATAACTAGCTTTTGTGGAAAGCATAGCTGATCACAAGATACACTAGTTTCCCCCAGAGGGCATTCTGTGAGGTAAAAATGTTGCCTTCTTAGAAAACATAATTAGGAAAATAATTGTAGTAAGTTTCATGTGTGTTTAGATAGATAGATAGATAGATAGATAGATAGATAGATAGATAGATAGATAGATAGATAGATAGACAGACAGACAGACAGACATATATATCAGCCTCAAATAAAAAATTCAAGATCAAAACCAAATTTTCAGTTCACAGCAGGTGATGTTTGGAGAAACACATTACACACAGATAAATCCTTACATTAATATACACATGCATTTCAAAAAGCAAAATTGACCCCCAAACTATTAAGAAAAACATATATCACATATTTACACAGCAAAAACATATGAAGTGGGATGCGCTTGCATACAATGCTTGAGATGCAAGGGTAAAAACATTCATGGTAAATTTCCCTTGCAAGTGTGCCCCCAAAACCTTCCATTCCAAAATCACATTATCACCCAAGCTGTGCATTTTTTCCATTCAATGTATAGACAATTGTATACACACGATGGCTTGGCACATAGGTTCATGGAAATAATGGACCAAATGTTGGTACTCTAGTGCTGGCCAACCTCCCAGGTTATTTTTAATACCTTCTATGGGAAGGTAGGTATTGTGGAAATGGAAGGAACAGGAGGGACAGCAAATAACAAGAAAAGGGTCCCAGAGTCTCTGAGGACGTTGTAATAGCCATCAGCATAGAGCAGCCAGTGAATGGATCAACCCAGTTAAGCAGTGTGCTATTAGCAACTTTTAATCCAACATACTCCAACATGGAGTCCTAGTGGACAATCACTTGACTGTGAGCCAGCAGTGTGCAGCAGCAACCAAAAAAGCTAATACAATCCTGGGTTGTATAAACAGAGGCACAGAATCAAGATCACGCAAAGTATTATTACCGCTTTATAAAACCTTAGTAAGACCACACCTGGAATACTGCAGCCAATTTTGGTCACCATATCACAAAAAAGTTGAGAGTTTGGAAAAAATTCAGAGAAGAGCAACTAAGATGATCAAAGGCCTGGAGACTAAAACATAAGAAGAACGGCTATGAGACTTGGGTTTGGCTAATCTAAAGAAAAGAAGAAATAGGGGAGACTTGATAGCAGTGTTCCAGTATCTGAGGGGCTGCCACAAGGCAGAGGGGGCCAGGTTGTTCACCAAAGCACCAGATGGAAGGACGAGAAACAATGATTGGAAATTAATCAAAGAGAGAAGCAACCTGGAATTAAGGAGAAACTTCCTGACAGTGAGGACAATCAATCAGTGGAACAGCTGGTTGTGGGTGCTCCATCACTGGAGATTTTTAAGAAGTGACTAGACATTCACCTGTCTGAGACGGTGTAGGTTCTCCTGCTTGAACAGAGGGCTGGATTAGAAGATCTCCAAGGTCCCTTCCAGCTCTATTCTATTCTAAATACTAATTTAAATTAAGATCCACCACTATCTTGACTGGATTGCAGGACACCTCTAGGCTGCAAAAAAAGTCACAATATGTCACATGTCATGTGACATGGCGAGTTTGACACCAGTGCCTTATACTGTATAAAACATAGGGCTGACTCTATTGGGAACCCACAGTGATTTAGTATTATATAACTTCCTAGAGGACTACGTTCCTCTAGGGAATTATATAAGATCTCTCCTAACAGTTGCTTCCCAGTAAAATATTTTTCCTGAAATGGATTTCTTCTATTTTGGTAACATATTGCAAAATCTGGGAGGCATATGGTTAAGATCAGTAAGTGGTGCAACAACTTAGAAACAAGAGAAAAATATTTATGATTCAGTTTTAAAGAACCAACTAAGTTTCTCTATACTGAACAAAATAACAAATTTCAGGTTTGGATACAGACCTTAACTGATCAGATTAGAGAGTCTTTTGGAAGATAATCAGCCTCAGCTTTGAAAGTATTTCTTATCATTAAATTTGCTAAGGATAAGAACTCAATTTTCAGAGATTACTGCAAATAGTGGCTAAATGAGGCAGTTGCTAAATGCAGACTACCTGCCATGTTTCCAATGAACAGTCTGGTTTTACTTCCTCTAGTTTTGAATGATTTGTTTTTCTTTCATTCTAAGGTATTCTCAGCCATGCTCTCCCACAGCAGAAGGGCATATGCTATGATTACTTAAATCAGTGCTTTTGAAAGCTAGAAAAGACATAAGGATAAAGACACATTTCACTGACACATCCTTCCACAACCTCTCAATTCCTCTCTTCTAACTGATGTTTGAAGAACCCCTGGGAGCATCAACCCCCCCTTTTTTTACATCTACTCCCTCAAGAATCCAGCTGAGAGGATCCGTCGCTTGGGGGTCACTATTCTATGACAGCTTTCATTTATCCAGGCATCATAAAACATTTCCTTTCAGTGGCATGTATCTTTCACACTGAGTAGTCTTGAGGTAATGCAGGTCACAAGGTACAAAATCCATTCTTGATTTTGCTAACATGCAATGACTTCCATTCAAATAGTTCAAGAAGTTCAATTCAGTTACAGTACTGCTAGGTAAGCATAAGACAGCCAGTTCAGTCTAGTGTAGGGGTGTCAAACTGCCGGCCTGTGGGCCGGATGTGTCATGGCAAAACCGCGCCCACCCCATTGCTGTCAATGGGAAAAAAAGTCATGATACGTCACCACACGTCACGTGACGTTGCAAGTTTGACACCCCTGGTCTAGTGGTTAAAGTGCCAGGCTAGAAACCAGAAGGCTGAGAGTTCTAATCCTGCCTTAGCATAAAAATTAGCTGAATGACCTTGGGCCAGTTACTCTCTCTCTCTCTCAACCCAATCACTTCACAGGGCTATTGTTGTGGGGAAAACAGGAGGGCAAAGAACATTATGTATGTTTGCTGCCTTGAGTTTATTATAAAAATAATAAAGGTGGGATAAAAATAATAAACATAAAAGAGCACCACACAAGCCTAAGTGATAAATATGTTTTAATAGAGGGCAATACTTTCTGCAGTTTGTTGTGAGAACTTTATTTAATCTGAAAGAAGCACAGTGGATGTATGCTAGTTGCATAAGCTGTTTGTGCTTATCTACACAAAGACATTTTAAAAGAGGGGGGGGGGATGGTAAACTAACAGAAGGCACACCTTAAAGGAAGTAATGATAGGATGCTTGAATGAACAGTCAACTCAGTTCTGGGCTTCTCAAAACTATTTAAAGGACCTGCATCTGCAGTTTAGGAAAATCTTTCGAGTGAAAAGATATACATTTTTTTTCAAATAAGCTTGAATCCAAGACTATTATTTCGTAAATTAAACTTTAAAGAAATAAGTTGCCTGCATCGTGAAGATGTTTGGAAAACATTTTCTTTCATGGCATGATTCGACTTCCAATATATACTGCATGTACTCGTCTAGAATGCCTTTATTGTCTGGTAACACAGACATTTACTAAGGTATGACGATAAGGAAAGTGATATTTGTAGAAGTTTTTGCAAAAAGTAATCACCATTGTCCTGAATGGAAAGTGGGAAGCTAGGGACCGGCTTGTAAGAGAACAAGCGTAACATAACCCGGCACGTAACATAACCCGGCAATGCCTGTCTCAAAGTGGGAAATGAAACAGGGTGGGACGGGGGGGGGGATCAAACATAAAGCAAACAAGTAAAGTACCGAATAATCAGCAATCCGCTCTTCATCTTCTCCCTAATCTCCAAGAACAGAATAGCATCCATCCACCAACTCCAAAAGAGAACCAAGCCGAGAGGAAGCAACCCGCTGCGAGGTTCAAAAGTGTGCAAAGCAGGCTCCCACGTGGGCCGGAGAAAACCAAGAAAATTGAATCCCGGAAACGTTTTAGCAGAGAGGAGGGCCTCTGTCTCACACAGCGCCCCCTGTGAGAGAAATCGCGGGCTCGGTCCAAAAAGCTCCTAAGCTCTTGTCTTTTTAATATCGTTGCAAAGAAGTCCTTGGTCACAATGTGATATCATCTTAAAGGAGATCGCGACTACTTAGATGACGAAAGAGGGTTGCACGTTAACATTTTTATCTCCTGCCGGAATCGCGCTGTAGTTTAGTCCGCTTGCAAAGACTGGTGGATGTCTTTGTTTGCTTTCTGTCGCATCACTCCATGGTAGAATAAGCGGGGAGATGGATTTTTTTTTTTCTCCAGAAGATCTTGTATTCCGACTCTATCTACCTTTACTCAGAAGTCAGTCTCGCTACAATTATAGTAGCTTGCAATCTTGTGCTGAATTAATTAGTGCCTTGCATCCAATTGCATTGCAATAAACGTGCACAGCCTATTGTAAACTGTAGTTTCCCACGGTTTGGCTAGCTAGACACTTTACAGGTTGGTTTCCATTCGAACGATGCTTATTTTTTTAATGTGCCTGTTTAGTGCTACTGATATACACCCCATCCATATTCAGAAAAGGGCGGCAGGGCTTTTCGGTTGCGAGAAATTAAGGAGAAAAGAAATGAACCGCAATAAATAACCGGTTTCATGATTTCTCTGTCAGCTTCCAACGAAGAGGCATGTCGACTTAGCTGGAGAATCCAGTACTCTGCAGATCATGCGACACAATCATAAATTGGCCCGTAACGTGAGCACACACAGTCGTGCAGTGGGGACAAACTACTCCTCCACGCGCGCGAGGCAGATCAAGAACTGGGCTAGCCCAAGCATTTCCCCCTGGTTTCATGAAAACCATAAGCCAGGCGAGAAACCAGCTCAGCTTTAGGATACGCTGGGAAGTCGGGAGCGGTGGGAGGGAGAGAGAGAGAGAATCTCAGAAAAGGTGCAAGTCCGCTTCTGCCCCGCTGCCACCAAGACGACTCGAAGCCCCCCCCCCCTCACTTCTCGAAGTAGACTTTCCCTTTAAGGGACTAACTACCTGGAATCGCCGCCCGGTGCAGTCGAAGAAACTGCGCTAATTCCGAGTGGCGGCAGGTGGCGTCATAACGTCAGGCGAGGCCAGAGGAAGGGAGGAAGCAAGGCGCTTGGCCTTCTGGGAACTGTCAGTGCTCCGCGTGGGGCGGTGGTTTGCGGCGCGGCTCTTCCGGCTCTGGGCGCCAAGGTAACCCTTTTCCCTCTCCCTTCTGGCCCTGCGGGCCTTTTCCCTTCCTCAAGTGATGGGGTTAATCTGCGAGGGGAGAAAGGACTGAGAGAGACAGAGGGAGAAAAGGGAACGGCGGGCAGCGGCGTCCTTGTTTGGAGCCCAGGGACTTCTCCGAGGGCTTCTTTCCCCTTCCGCGGAGCAGGTGCAGAGCGATGGGTTTTGTCGTAAACGCGGGGAGGAGGCGTAGCCGACGGAGACTCGCATATGCTTGTTGTCGGGTGAACGAGGTGTATTTGAAAGGGAGGAAATTATCCTTACAATTATCGTCTGCCACTCTTTGGCTTAGGGAAGGTCGTCCTTAACCGCCGGTTTTACTATTAAAATGGGAATTCTTGCGCACTTGTGGGGATTATTTGCCTAAGTATGACCCGTGGGTTTTTTACTTTATTTAAAACGGGGGAGAGCCGTCCTTTCATTTTCATTTTAAAAGTGTAAAGGAGTAGCTAACCCACTTTAAGGTATATTTATTCTGTTCTTATTCTAGGGAACAAAGAGACAGAAATTGGTGGTTGTCTGATTTGTATGGTTGCGAATGTGTTTTATTTCTTTTAATCTGCCAATCAGATAGGAGCCCTAAAACCCTGCTTGGGGGTTATTTTCATGAAATGAAAATGTGCATAGGATTGTACGAATACCTTTTCTCATCATCATCTCCATTGCCTCTTCTTTATATTTAGCTTCCTATGCCTAAATGTACTATGGCTTGCCAATTATACATTCTGTAATGCAGAGTAGCATCTTTTCTTGAAAGCCCATTTGCGCAGATGAAAGTTAACAAATCAATTTTACTTTTACCCTCTTCATTCTATGTCCTTAGGGATTAGTTAATGTTACAGTAGTTTTATTATATTTATTTATTGACTGCAGTGACTGGGAAGAGATTGAAAAGGCCTCATTAGCTCTGCAAGTTACTATTGCCCAGAGATAAAGTGGGAACCTAAAATATTACTTTAGCTGGAAAAAAAGTAACTTTCAGAGCACTGTCTATGTAATGTAAAAAGTAAATAAATTTGTTCTTAGGAAATATTCTTTGTATTACGGCCTTCATCTTTTCATTTTTTACACATCTAGGTTTTTCTGAGTCAAAGAGTACTTTTTGATGAATGAATGCTTATCCAGGATTCTCCCTCTGGAGTTTCTAAGGAAGCTTCAGCTATTGTTTGATGATACAGGCTAAAATATTGATGTGGCTAATATTAATCAGAGAATGGACTTAAGTGTAAAAAAGGAATACATGCTGAGAGAAGAGAGATTGTATCTAGTCTGTATATGATATAGAAAAGTAAATTGTATCTGGATGAGTGTCTACTCTTAGCTGGCCAAGAGAATGACCAGGAACATTGAACAAAGCCCAAGGTTTGAAGTTAAAAAAAAAAAAGACAGCTGTGAAAAAAACGGGACAGATAGATGCAGTTTTCAGAAAAACTGGCTACCACCTCTGTTTGCTGTTTCCCAAAAGCTTTGGTAACTCTCATCTTTTTTGAGAAGTACTTCTCACAGAGTTCATAGGTGCTAACTTCTAAGTTAGTCTGGATTTCAGTGTTAAAATATGCTAATAAAATTCAGGATATATTGTAATCTTAGGGTTGCTACACTTAAGAAATTCAGAAAATAAAATTCAAGTGCTCCTGTTATGTATTTATTGTCGTTCGATATTTTTAACTGTTTAGTTATGTCTGACTCTTAGGGATTTTATAGGCAAGTGCTCTTCATGTTACCCTATCAAGCACAGCTTCTTTCGATCGTTTTATGTTCAACTTTGCATCAGATTTGATGTTATCAAGCCAACATATTCTTTGTTTGCCCCTTCTTCTTGTTCCACTAACCATTCCTAGCAGCACTGCCTTCTCCAATGAACTCATGCATAACATGGCCAAAGTAAATCAGACATAGTAATCTTATGATTTTTGGCTTCCAGTGAGGGGTGATTTAATACCTCTCTGTTAGTTACTCTAGCTGTTCATGGTATATGTAGTAATTTACACCAACACCACAGTTCAAAGGTGTCAATTCTTCGATCAGCCATTCTTAATGTCCAACTCTCACACCCATGTATCAGCTTAGGGAAAACTATTACTGTTCTTTGTATTTAAATCAATATCCCTGCTTTTCTAGATCTTATTCATGTTAACCATTACAGTGCGGGCTAAAGTTATTCTGTATTTGATTTCAGGAGTAGAACTGCTAATGTGTGTTTATTATTTATCGTTAAATCATTGAGATTATGGTACGATCCAATTACAAATTGTATATCAGATGTTTAGTGTTTGGCTTACTGTTCAAGACTCAGATACTCAGATATTTTCCCATTTATTTCCCAATACTCTCCCCCCTCAGTTTTCTAATGTTCTTCCAAGTATGTTTCATGTCCACTGAGCATACTAATGTGTTTGAATTGTACTCGTATATCTTCTTTCAATCAGTCTAGCCAATAAAGCAGTCGTTCTCAACCTATGAGTCGCGACCCCATTTGGGGTCGATCGACCGTTTCACGGGGGTCACCAAGCAAGGCTGTCCACCATTTTTTTCCGCTTTTCTGGCGGGTGCCTTACCTCCCTTGGGCTGGGCCAGCTGGTGGCCCAGCCGGTAGTTGACCTGCTCCATCTCTGCCGCTTGCCAGCTACGCCTCGGCCGGCGCAGGGGGTGGCACCACGCATGCGCGGCGCTCCCGGGCAGGGAAAGTCCTCGACTTACGACCAGTTGGGTAGTCCTCGACTTATGACCGGTTTACTCCTCAACTTACGACCAGTTTAATCCTTGACTTATGACCGGTCGGGGGTCGCCACATTAAAAAGGTTGAGAACCACTGCAATAAAGTCATTTGTTTATGAAATGGCATCTACCAATTGAAAGTTTTCTCCTTCTTCCACTCATATTCAAGTCTTTAGCAGAGGATTGGGGAATCCTCAAGGGTAGATTTGACATAGAAGTGAAACAATGAATTGTACAAGCAGAAGTCCTCTCACTTCTTCCTGTCCCACAAGGAAAGACATGAAGAATAAAGAGAGAATTCACTGGGGCTTAAAAACATCCTTGGGTATTAAAAATAAGCTAGAAGATAGAGCATAACTGTAAAGCATATCTGTTTTTCCATTTATTAATTTATTGAAATTACAAAATAACATCAGTTAAGGCTGTGAGCTTGATCAGCATGGTAGGGCCGGTTATGGGTAAATATCTACAAGTGTTATAGAGAATCAAAAGATCATGGATCTAAAAATCTTTGAATTATTGTGTCTTATAATTGAGTTCTTTGCATGGGTCTCATTATTTTTGATGATGTTTCCTCTCAAGTTAGGGATTTGCACTATTTAATCTTATGTGCATAAAATAGAAATAACTATACCAAAAATACAATTTTTGTTAGATCAATAGCATATTAAGTTGTTGCTGATATAAGCAAATAAAACCTTGTCAACAGGTACTAAAGAGTGATAATGAAATCTACTATAGGGATAAAATTCTGGAAATTTATATAAGAAATATTTTTAAAACCTTTGTATTTCTAAAAAATATTTTAAAAACCTTTGCATTTCAAATGCAGGCAATTTTTTTGATTTTACATTTAGGTAGGCTTCTTCTGTGTAACTGAAAACTCACAGGGACAATCATTCCTTTCTGATAACTGTAAATGTTGGGAACTGAACATTATATTAGAGTACCCGCTGGATAATATTTATATCTTGTTCATTAAGTGAACTAATAGAAATTAAGGAATTCTGGTATATAAATGTAAAACCTCAGATGCAATTATAATAACAGAGATAGGATGTATTATTCAATAAAGTGTAGGACGCTGGGCTTGGCACTTAATGAACCCATTGTACAATGGTTTGTGTCACTAAACAAAAAACAAATCATTCCCAACCCCTGGAGGGGAAAAATATAAAGGAATGTGATTTGTTCTTAAATGTTCCTTTTTAATTTTATTACAAGTTATAATACAAGAGATTTGAACAAACCAACAGGTTGAGTTAGGAAAGTTTTAAAAAAGTAAAACAAAGGAACTGGTTTCTAAGATGAAGGAATATAGATGTTTGGTTAATGTTTCACTGGTGGTAAATCGAGCAAATTTCATGGAAGAGATTGTGTTATCAGCCATTGTTAGGGCATGTTTTGCCCTGATTATTGATAAAAGGGCTAGGCACACGGCACTTTCTTCCCTGGTCTAGAAAAACAAGTGAAGCTTTTAGGATGTGGTAATACAGTAGTTCTATAATGCTTTTGTCTTAGTTTAGGCAGAGCATGTGAGGTCCAATAAGGAGAATTCCAAATGAACTTCAGAATGTCAGAGTTAGGCTGTATTGTCTGGATACAAAAGAAAACACATCTGAGGCGATCAACTGAGATTCATTCATTTATTCATTCAAAACATTTATATAGCCACCCATCTTTCAACTCCGGGTAACTATATAAATGTTTTAAATTAAAACATCTATTATGTATATCTGCTGCCAAAGGAGTGATGAAGGGAGTATGTACATTAGTATTGCTATTGCACTGATGTTTTGACATTTTGTAAAGACAACAGTAGGCCTCCTCTAACAGCCTGCTTTTCTGATGCTAGTATTTTTTTTAAGTCATTACACCTTTGATAAACATTGCTGGATTTATTTTTAACATAAAATATTTTTAGTTATTACTGATAATTATATTTCATAAGTCTGTTCCCAGTTTGGGGTTATGATGGAATATGTAA